TTCCTATTTGTATAAAAGCGTGGGGTGAAACCCGCGGGTATAAGCTAGTACTCCTTATAAACCAGTCCACATTGTAACACAAATTTTAACGCAACGTAGCAGCTTTAGCAGAAGCGCAAATTTGGGTTTTCTAACGTTCGTCGAATTAAATAATTTTTTGTTTGAAGCGATGATAAAATAGTTTCGCTTGTAATTTTCTTCTTATTTACAACTAATAGTTTTGTCAACATGGAAAGTGAGGAGTGAGGTATGTTCTTTATTTGTCGATTTTTGTTAATAATATAGCTGATTGTAAAATAGATGTAATGCCTATTTCATAAATTGCCTTTTTTATTGAAAAAATGTTGAAATTTTTTTATTAGTTAGAGTTATAAACAAGTTCCAACGAGTACAGCAATTTCTCTACAACAGTTCGAAAACCCAACAAATTGCCAATGCAAAAATATTACGAACTCGTCCCTCCTTTTCCCCCTTCATTAAACAGAGAATCTTTTTCTTAAATCGTTTATTGGGGACGAATCGAGAATATAGGAGGACAACAATGTTTAATCCATATATATTTGACAGATTTCAATGAAATTTGGTATCCAGCGGTTTTCGTTGTCACAACTTTCGAAATTGATATTAAATTTTCGAAAATTTAAAATGGCGGATACAATATGGCGGAAGATATCTTAAAAAATATATAGCCATTCCAGATTGGACTTTGTATTAACTATACATACATAGTTATTACGGCTGTTCTATGATTTGCAAAGTACATAAAAATTAGCACTCACATTAGAACTAGAGTTTAAAATTAATAAGCGCTTAAGTCGACTTGAAAAACAATTGCATTGTATAAGCGATCGCATTCTGCAAGTACTATTGCATACGTTTGGCAAATCCCCATCTCGCCACATACACTATTTAAAAAAGCTGTAGACCAACAAACATATTTTCGTTTCGCTGTCCCCTCCCTTTTCGGGCCTGTGTGCATCATTTTTTAATAAAGTGTAAGTCGTTTCAATATTAACAGTCCCAAAGCCTTTCAATGATGGGATATTTGTGGAGCGTGTATTCTGTTCCTCAAGAAGGGACTCCTTCACTTGATATCTAGGCTGTGTTATTGGTGATATTAATGCTGGATCCTATATAAACAAAGTGCCTCACTGCCAACAGTGCCGCGAGTCCCATTTCGGGACAACTCTTTGTTTGTTGGCAGTAGGCACTTTGTCTTGTTTCTTCAAGTTGCACTATTTCGGACCTTTCACTAGAATAATTTAGTGTGCCATAGCTGACTGTCAAAAAAAAAGAGTGCTACCAGTCGGTATGTCCAGGATTCGATGTACGCGCCAAGAAACAACGAAATCGTAGGAGATGCTTTTTCCAATTTTTGGCAGCAAGTGTCAGTTACGCGGATTTGCAGAATGACGATAGGCAGTTTTGTACTTTAAACGACGATATATTTATTACCAACCGTAAGAACATTTTCTGACATCTACTTTTTAATTGATAATTTCATTCAAATGGTGGCCGCGACTATGGTGTAGCTGGTCCATTCGGAAGGTCGAGTTTTCATTAACTCTTTCCAGCATTAGACGAGTTACGCGAGTAATGTTGGCTTCCATGTTATAATGACGCTGGCTTATCGTCGAAGACTTCTGATTTCAAATAACTGCAAAGAAAAAAATCGAGAGGTGTGATATAACACGATAACTGGATGAAAATGAAGGAAACATTATTTTGGTTTTGCTTTTGTGTAGCAAAACTGTAATCAACGGATGTAAGAAACGTCAACGAAAACACTAACAATCAGTGTGAATAGCCTTCAGGCCACAATCCTAAAACTAGATTTTAAAGAGTTTTCGTTGACGGTCAGAACATGGTATTAGAATTATGTTTTTTTTGAAACATTAGTTTCCATATTTACGGATTCATCCAGTCAGCCCTGTATACGTATTCTTATTGAAAACAGCTGATATTAGCCGGCGAAAATAAACACAAATGTATATTTTATATTTAATATTGTGTTTATAAAAACGACTACGTCATAAATTTAGCGAATACTAGCTGATACTCTTACAAGCATGTGAACGAGCGACGCCATAGAATGATGATGGGGTGGCCAATGTGGATATTTATATGCAAGTACCCATATACTACATAAATATATTAGTAGTAAATAAGAAGAGAGGCACATTGGAGGAAAGCCGTGGCTGGCTGCTGGCTAGCGGCTGCGGATGATGACGACTATTCATTCATCTCTGCGCAACGTGAAAGTAACATCGATGGTTCGGCGACTAAATTCAGTTGGAAATTAAATTAAGAACGGAACGGACGCTAGTGAAGACCACTAAAAAGAAATTTCAGAACGTGTCCCACGCGCACGAATATAAAGTGAAAATTTAAATTAATTAGATAGTAAAATATTTCTGTGTGTTTAGTTATTATGTGGTGATATATGTATGGACATATGTATTTATTTTTGATAAAAAAAAATTGGAGCTGGAAAAATATTTATGCATGTGCAACTTATAGTGCAAAATCTTTTACGAGAGCTATTGAGATTTGTGGTGTAAAGAAAAACAGAAAATAATTTTCATTAGCAACAGTGAAATTTAATTTATTTACTTGTAATACAAGTGATTGTGTGCTAACCTATTTATGTACAAGTAATATAAACCGTCCTTCCGGCAACTTCCGGCTTTAGTAAACACATTTGAATATTAATAAAATAAATATACATATTCTTGATGTAAAAATGTCTAACCCACCGTCTGTAAGGATTCAAATGCCACCAAACAGGCAACCGCCTCGCGTGGTACTCCGGCCACCACGCTTAAATCTCTCGAGTGCTGCGGGGCCGAACTCTAATCAGCTGCATCCACCTATAACGGGACACACGCTAACTGCACATCCGCAAACTGGACTCCCACTTACCGCACAGACGAAGGAGAGCGAACAATGGCCCTTCTTCTCGGCATCTGATTTTGCCAGAGGCTTCTCCGACTTTGTCGATTTCACCAAGGCCGGCATGAGTTTTGGTGAAAAGTTCACCTTTGGCCTGTATGAAAAAGTGAGCAAATGGTCGCGAAAATGGTTTACACACATTTTCTTGTTCATCGTTATGGTGCTTTATAGCGCTGGTGGTGCCCTGCTATTCGTATCCATTGAAGGTGAGCTGGAAACAAGAGGAATACGTGATCATAGTACACATAATTTTGTATCAATTTTTAAGTGATTAAGGATAAATAATTCGAATTTCATAATTTTGTATCAATTTTTAAGTGATTAAGGATAAATAATTCGAATTTCGTTAGATTAATGTGTTAATACATACACTCACATTCAAACATGTGTATCTTTATGAATTTCGAATGAAAAGTGGTTAAACTGCATACAAATACCTGTATGCTGCAAATATAAGTTCATTTAGTGAAGGGCATGGTGCGTGTTTGTGCATTTAATGAAAAGCGCACATTGCTGAATATACAGTAAACTTCAGGATATATAGAATGAGATCCATTCAACACTTACTATAGTGATTATCGCAACTACACGACACTTACATCTTGACAAGATTTGACTATTTATTTTATTTTTCTTTTTAATTTTAGCTATATTTTACAAAAGTACAGTTTTTTCTATAAAAACCCGTATAAATCCAAGTTTCAATGTTTGTCCAAATTAAAAAAAAAAAAACAAGTAAGAAAGTGTAAGTTCGGGCGGAGCCGAACATTAAATACCCGGCGCAAGTAATAAATACATATATGGCTTTTCATCTATCCGAAACCTACCAATTTTGAGTAAATTGGCGTCATGAAATTTCGAAATATTGCAGTTTCAAGCATTTCTGAAATTTACCGTTATATGAAAAGCGGCCTGAATTTTAATCCGATTTCAATAATTTTCAACGTTTTGCTTTTATGTGGCAAGCATATAACCATACCGAGTTTGGTACAAATTGGTAGAACGGTTACCGAGATACATATATGCGATCATAAATGGGCGGTGCCACGCCCATTTTCCAAAATTTTATCATAAACGTATTTCTTGGTAAAGAATTATTGCAAGCATCAATTTTGAATACATTAGCTTTTAGTATTTATTTACTGATTTATAGAAGATTTCATATTTCTCTAAATTACTGTTATGTGGGATATCGGCGTGGTTATGGTCCTATTTTACTAATTTTTAGCCATTTGGTAAGTTGTACCAAAGCCAATAACTGCGCAAATTTGGGAGAAATTGGTGGAGCGGTTTTCCAAAAATTTACAATATTCCTATTTTTCGTCTAAAAATGATTTTTGAGTGAATAAACTTCAGTAGTTACTAAAATATCGCAGTTTTCTTATTTCTGAAAACTACCGTTATATGGAATGTAGGCGTGGTTATTTTCCGATTTTGCCCACTTGCAATACCATCCGTCCTACGCCCGAAAGAATAAACACGTACCAAGTTTCGTTAAGATATCTCAATTGTTACTCGAGTTATCGTGTGCACAGACGGACGGACAGACAGTCACCGCTTAATCGATTTCTCTTTTCATTCTGATCATTCGTGTATACATTTGCACAAGTGCGCTCGGGTATAACAAAAAGCTGTGGGTCTTCGATATTCACGATCCTAATGGGTCAAGGGTAGCCAGGAAGTGACAAGGGAGGTGCAGCTGGCCCCTCAAGCTTATAAGGCGAAGTCGAATTAAAAAATTTTAATAAATAAGAAAAAAATGCTTCTATATCTACGTGCGTTCTTCTGCGCCAAACGCGCCTCCTGTGCCGCTACTCTTAGTTTCTTATGAAATTTTTGCGCCACGTTCCTGCCTGTCAGCACCTTAGGCTATTCACGCTTTCGCCTTTCTGCCCCTATTTTCTTCTTGGCATGAGACAATGCGTCTCAGGATGCAGAGTTGATTGCGAAAGTTCTCGGGTGTCATTGGTGACTGTAACTTTTCGACGTCGCACCTGTCGCAACGTTATGAATTTGGTTTTTCATCTTTGATCTGCGGACTCCCAAATGGTTTTATGGATACTACCAAATAACTACAATGTTCCGTGCTGTAGCGAAGTCGATGGGCCTCTGTACGTTGTCAGAGGTATTGCCATGCATATTGAAATTTCCTTCCGTTAGACCAAATATGTTTAGCTTTCATGCGGATTGTAACAATTCGTTCACTGATGTGGTACACCTGGAATAATCTATCGTAGCCTCCGTCCAACTACAAGTACTACACCAATCCGAGGCATTTGTTACTAGCATAAAAGTATTGGAATATATTTATTGGTATATTAGCCTTTGCGTCCCTATGTTAGATCCTCGCTGCGCCATTGCAAAAGATGTCATGAGGCGTTACTGTATCAAATTCCTCCAAAACTCAACCAGCAACCTGCGCCTTTTTCCATTTGCCAAATTAATCGTATTTTTGAGGTAGGCGTTTTGACAACAATTCGTCGAAGGAATTGATATTTGAATTTTATATCAAAGGAGGCCTAAGTACATACGTAGAACTTTAGAAGTTTTATCACAGACCTGGGTAGAAACTCAATATAGGAGAAAGCACATTTTCATATGTTTTGCATGTTTGCATATTTTTTCCAAATTTTCAAATTTTTGTATATATTTGGCATATTTCCTATAAATAAAAGTTATATAAGCACACCACCCTGAGGGAAGCCCTTCTTAACTCCGCACGTGACAATAGCATATCTTATGGCATTTTCATTCGTCATAATTCTGCCAATAAACCAGTACCTTGACACAATGGTTCTCGCATTCCCTCGCTCTCCAGGCGATGGAGAAGAAGGCATACCCATTGCTCGATTTCCAGGAAATTGCGTTTCCAAAAGAACAGAGAGAGTCTAAATCCTAGTGTTTTTTAAATAAGCATCATGCCTCTTGAGTGAACCCAGCTTTGTAGTTTAGTCCTTCTTCAGAACTTTTACTAGCCTAGCCGTTTGATCCATGGTCAAGACCGGAATTGGGCAATGCCAGACTAGTAACCGCCACGGCTGTTAAATTTTAAATTCAAAATATTTTTGATAAGTTAAATAAATTATTAAAATATGGGAATTAATATAAGAGGGTTTGGAAAAGCTTTATGTTTAAACTCTACTTAAAAGGGTGGCCACGTATTTAAAAAATCAAGATCATTTTAATTGATCAAGCAATAGAGATTTGTATTCGAATGTCAGACGAAAGAGATTTAAGTTTAAACATACTTTTGAAATGGGTTGCCACCTGTTTTAAAAGTCGACTTTAGTTAATTTATGCGCGAGATACTTATGTCTGTATGTTATTGGCATAGATTCTAGAATTCTAATATTCATTCGTAAATTCCTATATATTTTGATATACTAATGTATTTCGACGGCCGCTGTGGTGCAGTGGTTAGCAATGCACGCTACCACTCCGCAGTGCCCAAAAAATATAAAAAAAGGGTTTTTCTTAACTGCGGTCGCCCCTCGGCAGGCAATGGCAAACCTATAAAAAAAAATATTTGGAATTTTGCAACAAAATTTCAACAGTGTACTTTTCGACTACCAAACTCTGCACTGCCTGAATATCATTGAAAAATATTAGTCTTGGTAAATTCGGAGCCCACTTGAGGAAGCCTTACCCAAAGGCTTAATTTTTTTATGGGGTTATGGTGTCCATAGTCAAGTGCATGCTAGTGTATATGTGTAAAATGTCATATCTAAAAATCCCTTTTGCTCCTTATAACTATTTACGCATGCATTACATTTTATTTCAAGTTTTTACGACTCAAGCAAACTTTAATTATAAATATCTTTTATTACTGAAAATGCTTAAAATTCAAGTCACAACTAATTAAGTTTTCATCCATTGAAAATTTTCGCTTCAATGCAATCGCAAATTGGTCGAAAAATAATATGATTTGTAAAATAAAATGAGTGAGATGCACGCTTTGTTTGCTCATGGATGTAATGTACATAACTGAATATATTTAGTATTTACAAAGATTTAAATACGCATATATATGTACATACAAACGTCTGTACGCAAGTATATATTTGCATAACAAAACAAGAAATATACGGTGATTTACAAAGGAACGAATTTTCGCAAAATTTGTGTAATTAGACTCGATATGATTTACAATCACACCATGAGAATAAGTTCGATTCAATTTGAATGTATACGAGTAATATACACATGTAAATGGATGTAAATAAAATTGGGTCTTTGTAGTTAGGTACATGTATGTAGATATACATCAAAAAATAATTTTATAGATTACATATGTAAATATGAACATGTATCTACTTCCGTTACAAATGTTAAACAAAATTAAAGTTATTAGCTAATTTTGCTGCCATTTATATAATATCCGGTGAGATACCATGCGTGAGTGACTAGGACATTTCTACATCTACCCCTAACAACTTTTGATATATCGGAAGCTCATAGCTAGATGCCTTCTCGCTAAAATTGATGTATGTAAGTCGAAACCATTGTCAAAAAAAAATTTGTTCCTTTCTTAGCTATCTTATATGAACATTAGGGTTGTCCAAAAAAGTAAAGTCAGGATTGTAATGCTCTCACCCGCTAGGACTGAAAAAATATATCCCTGTTTGTTATTTTTAAATCAAAAAATATTTAGAAGTCGCCCACGCGCTCAAAGCTTTGCATGTATCACACAAGAAAAATACAATTTTTCGTAGAAGTGGTATAGAATTCTTCAAAAACAATATTCTTCAATGATAAAAACCTGCTTCCGTTTTTGAGACTTCCAATAATTATACCCAATTGTTTGTGTAACCATTTTTCAATATTAACTCTTTGGTCCCCCAAAAACCCAAAAAATTACAAAATTAGATGGGGTCATTGGTATTAAAAGTTGGTGAAACAAACAAATGGGTAATATTATTGGAAGTATTCTGAAGAGAAACATAGTTATTATTATTACTTTTTAAGAATTCTGTACAATTTCTACGAACTTTTTTTTTCCCCATCTAAAATAATTGGAAAATTCTAAGCGCATTAAGCGACTTCTAAGTATTTTTTGATTTCGAAATAAAAAAGGAGTTGTATTTTTTTTTTTTTGATACAAAATAATTTAAGGGTGAGAATGTTAAAACTCAAGTTTTACTTTTTCCAAATGCAGTTTTGGACCACACTAATGTGCATATCGATGATCCTCTGCAATATCGACGCAACTCAAGACTCCAAAAAAAACATTATTACTGTTAAAGGCCTAATGTTCCGAATGTATATCTGATA